TATTTTCATTGTTTTACACATTGAATGATTGCACAGTAATATATTTTTTTAATTACTTTTACACTGTGAGAGGTAGGTTTCTGATAAGGTGAGAAGTGTTGAGTAAACAGCTTATATTTAGTATCAACTGAATTAGTTCTCTATAGAAATGCAAGAGTCAAGAGATTTCCTAATACTGGGACATTCTGTATTTTCCCTCTGCCTATCCGCCACCCCACGTATGTAGCATACATAGTCTAAGTGTGTGTATGTATCCAGTTATATTTATAAAAGAAATATTCTAAATCCCCAACATCATACTTCTGTAAATTAGGTACTGTGATATGACATGTCTGTCTATTTTCCCTTCCAGAGAAAAAACTTAACTCTGGTGCAAAATTATTCCATGTAGGTGATCCTGCTCTGGCAGTGTCGTTGGCCTGGATGATCTCTAGAGGTCCCTTCCAACCACTAACATTCTATGATTCTGTAATTCTATAGGTATTACTGGTTTTGCTTCTTTTTTTGAATATATGCTAGGAAGAAAAGTATTTTTTGATTATTAGAGAAATATCCATGCATATCTCTTAAAAAATATATTCAGTAATCTTCAGAATCTTAGAGACTTTTAAACTTAAAATTAACGGACAAAGTGATTTCCACAGACAAAGTGATTTCCACATTGTTTGTTTCCTTATTTTTGCCACTATTGAAAGAAAACTTTGAAAGTATTTTCTTTGAGGGAGGTTGTACATGTTTGCAGCATACATGTATATGTATTAAGTAGATGGTCGTGGTTCCCTTGGTTTAATGGAATTTTTTAGGATTCTACCTTTCTCAGGCTTTTTTTTTTTTTTTAAGCTTCCAACGTGCAGGAGAAGCCACAAAGGTCAGATTATTTTTCTGTGGTATTTTTGGCAGCTGCTATGCGAAGTTGTGCTTTATGCAGTGAAAATACTAATTTGCAGTTTACTAGAATATCAATGTTTACTAATCAAACAATGTTACTATCTACTGACTCTTCTCACATCTTTCAAAGTAATTTTTTCATGCATATTTTCAGATATAAAACAGTTTTGGATCTCTCCTGGCCACCCATGTGGTGTCTAGAGAGTTTTTGTTGTTTTATCATCCCAGTGAGATGACTTTGTTTAGAGAATTTCAATTTTGGTTAGAATTCTAAGGTCTTTGTCCTTTAAAATCATCAACTACCAAGATCTCAGAATGCCTTTCTAGCTGAATTGTAACTGACCAGTCCTTCTGGTGATTTTTCACGTATGTAGACTTACTTCTTTAGCTTTTCTTCAGGGCTTATGGCATTTTGATGTATTTTCATGATTTTTCCCTCCCTTTCATTCACCCCACTCCCCACCTGCCCCCTTGACATTTCAGGAGAACTTTATGTGCGTCTCTTCGTTCTTTTCGTTCTTCAGTGGAAGTCTGACGATACAGTTTATCATTTGGTTTTCTGGCTTGCATCTTTTCGCAAACCAGTTTCGCTTTTTTCACTATTTAGGGTTTTTTTATCTTCAGCTCTGTAACAGAAGAGGGAAACTAACCAGCTTCGAAGGTGTTGTTCATGTAACTTCGGATTGAGATGGTGGGTATGTGCCCAGAGAAGTAGTTCTGATGAGTTATAATGAGAACTGTTCTAATCTGTGTGTGAAGGTTTGTCAGAATCTAGTAAAATTGATCAGTTTGAGTTAGTGTCTCAAAAAATTGGTTCTCCAAGCAAACAGTAGTGAAAGACCTCCACTGAACAATGAAAAGTTTTGTCATAAGCTGATGTGAGTCTTAAGTGTCTTGAAGAGATGTTCTTCTGAATAATCCTTTGTCACTTATGATCCTCTGACATTTTCTGGTAATGAGTTCTCATTTCTCACACTAGTTGAATGCATCACTTGTGAAGGCAACATTTAATGAGCTTTAAAAGAGAACAGTAATTGTGTTACAGGTGTTACCAGTAAATGTGTGTATGTATAAATATATGTGTATGCTCATATGCACATCAGTGAAACAGTAAGAACAGTGATATGACATGCTGTGACTTTTCAGTTTATGGCAGTGTTTAAGAAACAAAACTAGCAATAGCCTCCTTCTAGGAGACCAAGATTAAAGTTGTTTGAGATCTGCATCAGCTTTATTCACATTTCGCCTATGAATATAGCTACATTGGTTTGTGTGTTTTCTTGATAATTTAATAAAGAAAATACTTGAAATAGAAGTGATTGGTGGCTTTATCTGCCAGGAAAAGTATGAGAAAGCCTAGTCAGAATATTCTTTGATGCTTGAATGCATGTGTTTAATAGAAGGATTTATTAAAGGCATATAGTAGGTTATATAGGAAAATTGATCATGTTATATGAATAAAAGATACTTGTTTTGGGTTCCAGAGACATGGAAAAGCATAGGGGATAAAAAAAATTGAAGGTATTTCTTTACAAAAACATCTGAAGAGCAGGTGGCAAGATTTGCTTTTCTGAAGTAGCAAATATTTTTACATCAGAGGTACATTCATTTTAGGACTTAGAGCTCAAATCTGCACCTTTTCTTCCTTTTCTGAGTAACTGAGAGCCTTTTACTCCTGCTCCCAGTGCACAGATAGAATATATGATCTCTGTGTTAGTAATTTGATCATGTTTTTTTCCTTTCGTAAGTTATGATTTCCTTTTGTTTCAGTATGGTTAATATTAAAATAGTTTGATAATCCTTTGATTTTCTGAATAAATGAAAGAAATTACAGCTGTGTAAGAAATGATGGCTGACATCTGGCTATAATACTGTTTCTAAAGTAAAGTGATTTGGGTACATTTTTTGACCTGAATTTTACCAGTAGGCATTAAACTCCCTTCTCCTTTATTTGGACAGCAGATGTGAGCTTTCATAGTTTTCTTAGTGCTGTTGCCAGAGACCAGTGATCTGTAATGGAAGGAAAATAATTGCTCGCAGCTTTGGAAAGATGGTAATATTAGTGTTTTTGCCTTAAAATCTGGAGTAGAAAGCCTTTAAATATTGCAGAGTTGTTTCTCAGTGGAATGTAACCGCAATACATTAAACAGCTGTACTCTGCATTTGTGGATGATATTCTTTGTGATGATACAGCTTAAGTGAAGTGTAGCTCTATTGTTTCACACAGATTTCAGAACAGTTACAGTGAAATGTTAGTAAAGGGTAGAAGTTGGATGGTACCTCAGAAGTAATGTGATTTAATTACATTAGTTGATGCTTTTGTATATGGACATGATCTATATCTTACTAAGTATAAATACCTCAGCCCTGCTGAAATAAACTTTTAAAACAAAATACTAGCACCTATGCAAAATTCCTGCATTTCAACCACTAAAAATCTGTCATTATTAGCTTCATATGACTGCCTTATTACTGTACATACACATAATGTACTTATAATATATTGATTCAAGAAAGTATTAAACATATCTACCTTGGTACAACAAAAGCTTTGCTTTATTTGAATATGAAAAAATAATGAAACGTACCTGGTGAATTTATAATGATCAGTGAAATGTAATGGTAATATGGCAGTTCCCAAGGTCTTTTGTGAGCAAATTTGTCATGTGACTAATTGAAGTTGTGAAACATGTTTGTATCAATGGGAAAGTGAACAGTTTCTGCAAATATTTTTACATCAGTATGTGAGATATTTTTACCTTACTATGTTCTTTGGCAGAAAATTTAAATTTAATGAGGATTATAGCATTACAAGAAATGAATTGTAGGCATAAGCTAGCATTTTACTTTGAGGCATAAGAATTGAAGAATTCCACTGTACAGAAAGAATAAAATATATTTGTAATATTCTGTTCATGGATGAGAATGAGGATTTGTTCTGAGCTTTGGTGTTGGATCATCTCTTAGATCCATATTGTTTCTGACACAGTTTGTAAACTTTTTTCATAGTATATGGAGTTCTTAAAATATGTCAGTAATTTTTTTCTTGTATTGCTACTTTTTAACTGGTCTAGACTGAGAGCAGTATTGATTTAGTTTGGTTTTGATTCCACGGTTGTTATAAAAAACCCAACATTAGCTTTTAAATTAAAATTTTATCTGAAAATAAGATATCTTCAGTTAATCAAAAGTGTAAAATGACCTACCCAAGTCTATTGGAGGGTCTCACAAAGAAATTTTGAGAGGAACATTTTTTGTTGTTAAAGCCAATTTTTTAAAGGATGAAATGAACAGTGAGAGACTTCAGGGAGCAGTTGTAAATTGTGCGTTCCTTCAGGTTAGCAATGAAAAGAAGTAAAGTAACAGTCCTGCAGATGCATGAGGCAGCAATGTTTTAGTATGATTTTATTTTTATATACTTTACAAAATGCAAACATGTAGTTAGAAAAAAAATATATATATATAAAGTGTCAGTTCAGTTTCAGGGCTGATTCTTTTGAGTAGTAACATAAGCCGTGTTCAAATGAAAGAACAGGCATAAGATTACATAAAAATTAGACTTCAATGTACATGCACACAGCTACCATAAGGAATTTTGGTAAGCTGTGATTTAAATAATTTTGAATTTTCTCTTATAACAGAGAGAAATAGCTGCTTTAAAAAACATATTATGTATATATGTATGTGCAGCATGTTTTGTTCATTGCTTCATTGTTTCTAAATCATGTTGAAGGAAAGCAGCTGTGTATAAGAATTTAGTTTTTCAGCCTGAAAAATACATTTTAAATGCCCTTAAGTATCTCAGTTGTGCTTGCAATTGTTAATAGCAATTGTTTAGTAGTTAAGATGAGAAACTGATGTGGTTTTGTTGTAAGGTCTTTTCAAAATTGCTTGTAAAAAATAATAGCATTAAAAAAAGAAGATCTACCAAGAATTGATGTTAAATATCCATTGCTTTCTGGTTATGTCTTGCATATTTATTTGTTGTAGTATGTTCTTGTTGTTCTAACTTTGTTTTAATGCTCTGTATGTAAAATTTATGTGCAGCGATATTAAACATGAAGGAGGAAACTTGTTTGCCAAAAGATAATTTAGCAAATATGTTTTTGCAGGTATCTATTGATATATAATCCTATGGAACAAGAGCGATTTTCAGTGGTTTCAGTCAATGTGAATTCACCCAGAGTTAAAGTATTATCTCCTTTCGGAAAACCTGTTACTGTCCAGATTAGTGCTGTTTGGGATGGAGCAACTACAGTATCACATGAAGCATATCAGGTATGCTGCTTTAAAAAACATTAATTTTTTTTTACAGATACGGTAACTTCGCAGTTTAAGAAAATGGAGAGCGTACTTACTGGCAATTCTGTCTTCTGTAGATAATGCCATTAGTTCCGCCATTTTAAGGGAGAGGAGAAGCACACTTAGCATTAAAAATCTGATAAGTTACTAAAGTTTTGTGATACGATGTATTACATTTAAAGGATCAATTTCAGCTGCCTAAACAGAAAATACTGAATGTGTGTCTTTACCCTCAACTTTCTAAAGCTGCTTTTTCCTTCAAGTGGTAGTCTGTGGATGCAGTTGCATAGTCCCTGTATGCTCAAGCACTCCAGTGCTTTGTAAGTACAATGACTTGAGCAGTTACATTCTGATTTTTCTGGGGTTGTGAGGCCCCACCTGGAGTACTGTGTCCAGCTCTGTGGCCCTCAACATAAGAAGGACATGGACCTGTTGCAGTGGGTCCAGAGGGAGGCTATGAAGATCATCAGAGAGTTGGAGGACCTTCCCAATGAAAACAGTCTGAGAGAGTTGGGGTTGTTCAGGTTGGAGAAGAGAAGCCTTCTGGTACTTAAAGGGGATCTACAGGAAAGAATGGAAGGGACTCTTTATTAGGGAGTGTAGTGATAGGATGAGGGATAGTGGTAGATTTAGATTAGATGTAAGGAATAAATTCTTTTCCGTAAGAGTGGTGAGACACTGGACCAGGTTGCCCAGAGAAGCTGTGGATGCCTCCTCCCTGGAGGTGTTCAAGGCCAGGCTGGATGGGCCTTTGAGCAACTTGATCTGGTGGAAAGTATCCCTGCCCATGGCAGTGAGGTTGGAACTAGGTAATCTTTAAGGTCACTTCCAACCCAAAGCATTCTGTGACTCTGATTTTATTGGTCTTTATCTTCCAGATGTAAAGACTGGTTAACAATTTCCATTACTGTTGTACTCAGGCTAGACAGATGACTTTGAGTCCACCTCTTGGTTTTTGTTTTAAAGAAAATTTCTGAGAATTTTGAAGTATTTTTTAAAATTCTTAATGATGTCATAGTACTGAACTACTTTCAGGCTTACATTCTGCTGATTCGTCTTGACTTGGGACCCAGACTGAACTTGTTTCAGTTGAAATATTTCTGCAAAGGTGATTCTCTAAGTGTCTCTCAGTTGTCCTCCAAAGGCATAATTATTGGTGACTGTTGTGTCTTAACATTGGTAATCAGCTCAGTCCCACCCAGCTGCTTGCTCACTGACCAAAGTGAGGTGAAGGAGAGATTTGGAAGGGTAGCAGTGAGGAAACTCGAGAATTAAGATACACAGTTTAATAGGTTAAAGAAAAGCTGTGTGGGTGAGCAAAGTGAAACAAGGAATCCATTGACTGCTTCCGATGGGCCAGCAGGTGTTCAGCAATCTCCAGGAAATCAGGGCTCCATCATGTGTCATGATTACCTGGGAAGACAAACACCATCACTTGCTATGTCCCTGATACTCCTTCTTCTCCCAGTTATTATTGCTGAGTGTGACAATATACGATGTGAGATATCCCTCTGGTTGGTTGGGGTCAGCTCCCCCAACTGTGTCCTCTCCCAGCTTCTTGTGCACCCCCTGCCTGCTTACTGGTGCGGTGGACTGAGAAGCAGAAAAGGCCTTGATGCAAAGGCCTTGATGCAGCATAAGCAGTGCTGGATGATAGCTAAAACATCCCTGTATTATTGATATCAAAATGTAGCACCATGTGAGATAATATGAAGAAGTTTAACTCTATCCCAGCCAAAACTAGAACAATGATTAACACTGTTAATCATCATCTGAAGAAGAAATAAAATTACATATCTGTACCTCGAATTCTAAATAAACAGCTTTGGAAATTTATCTTGTATATTACTCTTCTGTGCCAATTACTTTATACCTCCTAAATAACCAGAGACTAGAAATTAGACAGTTGCCTTGTATTTTGCTATTTAAATTTGAGGATTTTTAAATGCAACTGAAGTGATAAGTAGGGTCTATGTGGACTTGATATGCCACATATGCTTCTTTAATGCTCAGAAGATATACTCAGAACAGCACATCACATAGGGCATTCTTTTTTTAACAAGATTCAAAATCATTATTGCATTAATATAACAGCCTTCTTGATGCTAAGCAAATTAGTGACATAGACGTTTTTGTTTGCTAATTCTTTTTAATATACTTTAGCTATTAATTTTAGAATGTCATTTGTAATTTCATTCGTTATATTTATTTTAATATACACATTTTTATATCTGGACTTCCTGTATGTTTATATATTTTGTTGATTTGTAAGATTAATTTATGGAATATGGGGAAAAATACAGTCATCCTAAAATTATTGAAGCAAAAGTAATTTCTCTGAGGATAAATTTAGTATAAAATGTTCATACTATGGTATTTTTAATAATGACTTCTTCTTTGCTTCCAACAGATCTCTTTCGTGGCGCATCTACCACCTCTGGGGCTTGGAGTTTACCAGCTCTTGGAGGTTCAGAGTTCAGAAGCAGTTTTAGCAGACTACAGTATATACACAAGGAGTAGTAGGCAGGAGAAGCCAGAAGAACTTTTCAAGATAAAGGAAATGCAGAATTCTGTGGATAATATAATCTTAGAAAATTCTTACATGAAACTTTGGTTTTCTGGAATGTCTGGATTGCTAGAGGTATATTGCATTATATTTCAAAACACTATGTTTTACATTTTTAAGAGCTTCTGATTTTGTTTGTGGAAACCTAAGTCAATTATTTCAAACATAATTCTCTGTCCTTAGAAAATATATACCAAAGAAGATGGTAAAAATCATCAAATGAAGGTGGAGTTTGCTTGGTATGGAACTACAAGTAACCGGGATAAAAGTGGAGCTTATCTCTTCTTACCAGATGGAGATGCTAAGGTAAATCTTGTGTTTGCAGAGAGATTATGATCTTGAAGTAACTTGAAACATTCTGCAAATACAGATTGGAAGAGCTAGCTTTCCCCAACACTGAAATACAACTGTGGGGCTAGAAATAATGACATCAGTTATTGAAATGATTGGCAGAACTTGGCACTTTGTAACCCTAGATTGGGGTAAAAACATAGTGTTAATTGAAAAGTGTAAGGATATACAGAATATTTATGATTCACCAAAGAACTTAAATAAGATGCTGCCCTTGCAAGCAATAGAGTGAGATGTGACAATTCATTACCAATAAAATAAGTTTACTTTCATTTTCCATGGTAAAAATGCACAGGACATACTGGTTAATTTCTGCTGTATTTCTTCACTGTTCTGTTTCCTAAGGTTTCTTTATTGTGAATAAGGAGCTTCCAGTTCATATTTAGTACATTTTAGCTGATACTAGCATGTATAGTTTAATAGTAATTAAGATACTTAGTCCCAATTGTTAAATGTAAAGACAGAGGAGCAAACAACTGTTTTGATTTAGTTGTCTATGGTTATTAGTATTTTTAGGTGGGTAATTATTACAGGGCAACAGCAAACTCCTATTAGTTTTGAAAATGGAAATTCAGAAATGACAATGTTCTCTACACTGACTTAATTACCATGCAGAATCTACTATATGACTTTTGGAATGGAAGGGTGGTACTTCAGAAAGCAAATGATGAAATAATGAACACTTTTAAGAAGCTCACTAGTTTGCAACATATTTCTTCTGCCAAATTTCTACTAAGGAAACATACTGCTTGCATGCAGGCAAACTGGGAGTTCTGTGTTCACCACTCCAGGAAATAAGCAAGGATAACTTTTTTTTTTTCCCCTTGTTTTTTTTTTCTGTTTTTTTTTTTCTTGATTTTATTCTTGTTTTATGTGTAAGTCAGTCTGGAACTAGACAAAACAGTTTCCTTTTAGCCATGTTTACTAGAAACGTATATTTTGAGGTCTGTGAGTCTGCAATTTTAAACTACCTAGTGTATTTAGTCCCATAGTTGTTTGCATCAGTTATGTTCAATGGGGCTTGCTTACTCTTAATTTTTAAATGTCAGTGGTTTTGTGTATACCTGAACAATATCACTTATGGTTTTTAATTTTTAGCTTTCAACAGTAGTATGGTCACACTTGAACTAATTCTGTTTCAAATGCCACTTTGTCTTTTGCTTATAAAAACAATAATCACTAAATCTAAGTTATGTAGTTTTAACTATACTTTTTAATTCTTTGTGTTATAAGAAAAATCTGGGAAAATCTACATAGCAAAATGCTTTAGTTTGAACAGAAAAAGGTCTGTCACAGCCTGCAAGAATAGTTAGGAAATAAGATACATATTGAACTTCTATGAAAAATGCATTTCTAGTAAACATTAAAAAGGGTAGATTTGTTACTTTTTATACAATAGAAGTGACATCATGATACATCTAAAAGTTCTGCTTCATGAATAGCTGTAAGGCTCATTTGACTTGCATGTTAATAACATTAATTAGGTTGTCCTATGGGAAATAACAGTGTAATTCTATAGTAGTTCCTAAGCAGTGTGAACTAGTGATTTCTGTCTTATAAACCTCTGTAGGGTTCTCAGTGTGAGGTGGATTGACTTAACATTTTCTAAGTCCTTGTGGGGAGCAGCAATAGGATCGATTACAGGCAATTTTCTTGTTTTTTTCTCTAGGTGAGTTTTCTCCCTATCCCCCTCACTCTATGTATTATTGCAAAAGCAAAGAATGATTGCATTTGGTATTGGGTCATTTTCCTCTGGTACGAGTACAGTTATATGTTTTCTTTACCTTTGTTAACTGGTTGCTTTGTCACCTTGTAAGTCTTTTCGTTTCTTTTCGTTCCTTTCTCAGAAATTATTTTTCTTCCTCTGGCTTAATTGTCTGTCTTACTATAGTACTAATACAGTCTTTTTAGTCTAGAATTCTTCTGCTAGTTTAATTTTGGAAACTTGGTGCTGTAACATGCTATGTTTGCAGGCTTAACTGAAAGCCAAGTCGGTTTGGAACATTTCACATGCAGTGCATCAGTAGCCATCAGTAGTAGGCTATTAGATGCCATGTTTACTGCAGGTGGTCTCTCTGCTAAAATGTACAATCTTTCAAGAGATTCCTTGGATTAATCATCTTTATGGCTGACATAAAACCAACCTGGTGTACTGCAAAGAGCACATTCTTATTAACTCTCTACTACTACCACTAAGTTGGACAACAGAAAAAAATAGCTTTGCCTCTGTCTGTGCTGTTGGAGTGTCCTCGGGAGGGATTCTGCTCCTCCTCTACTCTGCCCTGGTGAGGCCACATCTGGAATATTGTGTCCAGTTGTGGGCCCCTCAGTTCAAGAAGGACAGAGAACTACTTGAGAGAGTCCAGCGCAGAGCCACAGAGATGATGAAGGGAGTGGAACATTTCCCTTATGAGGAAAGGCTGAAGGAGCTGGGTCTCTTTAGCTTGGAGAAGAGGAGGCTGAGGGGTGACCTCATTAATGTTTATAAATATGTGAAGGGTGAGTGTCAGGAGGATGGAGCCAGACTCTTCTCATTGATGTGCAATGACAGGACAAGGGGCAATGGATACAAGCTGGAACATAGGAGATTCCACAAAAACATTTTCACTGTGAGGCTGACAGAGCCCTGGCACAGGCTACCCAGGGAGGTTGTGGAGTCTCCTTTTCAGGAGATTTTCAGAAGCCGCCTGGACGCGTTCCTCTGTGACCTACTGTAGGTGATCCTGCTCTGGCAGGGGGGCTGGACTAGATGATCTATCAAGGTCCCTTCCAACCCCTGACATTCTGTGATTCTGCGAGCAGCACTGAGTTAGTCATAGTGATTTACACAGGTACACTGAAAATCGATAACTCTTTGTCATTGCTCTGGAAAGAACAGCTGAACTTAAGGCTCTACAACACCATGGCAAACACTGGTTTGAACAGTAAGAACAGTCTTTCGTGCTGCAGCGTAGGGTATTGACCATGGATGTGGCAGTCTCAGGTCAGGACACCAGTGCAAAGACCAGGACAATGACATGGAGCAGAGGCTCCATGCTGCAGCTGACAGAGATAAGGTACTGCTCCTACCACATCTTTGTATTTTCTGCAAAATACAAAAAAAGCAAGCTACCAGGGAAAACTGTAGGCATTATCTTATTTTTTTAAAACATCAGTGCTGCCTAACTGACTGACAGTATTATCAAAGTTTGGAAGGAAAATACTTCCTTGGCCCTCACAACGAATATGTGCAAAAGTATCCTGCCCGTGAAGGGAGAACATTTTTGTGTGTCGTGATTTTGTGATGGATGGCCAACTATGTAAATCTGTTAGACCTGGGCGAAAAAAATCAGTATTCAATAAACTTTGAAACAATTAAACATTTGTATTTTCTTCTGTGGATTCAAGACAAAGTTAATATGTGATGACCTACTTATTAGCTATATTTGAGATCAATAGTGTATAGAACAAAGCTGTGTTTTCCAAGATCTCAGGTGCTAAGTGTTTGTGGGATTAATATGAGTGGTTCGTTTCTTCTTTTTTCTACTTTTACAAATTTTCCAGAGTCAAAATGGACTTTTTTGGTAGACCCAGACTGAGAAATTGTGATTCTGCCTCAGGCAGCTGTATCTATGCATGCATGTATGTAGTCCTTGATGTAGAAAAGTGGGAGGGGTTTTGTGTTTTTGTTTTTTTTTTATCCTGCAGGATCTCTAGTGCTAGAGCTTTTCTCGCTTTTTTCCCCTTCACACTTTGTCTCCATGGTCAGACTTCCTTTACTAATGATATTTGACTTGTATAGCTGCAGCTGCTAATACTAGCATTAAGAAACTTTTTTTATGACAGGTCCTTTTGTTAATGTGTCAGGATTACCTGTTGCTTCTACTTCTCAGAGAAAAACGTGTCTGAGTTACTTAAATGCTTGGCTTTCAATCCAAAGGAAAAGATAATGGTATTTTTATAAATGAGGTTGGGATGTTCCTCTGCTCAAAAGGAGACAGACTATCCATTTGGAGTATCCTGCAGTGTCCATCTTCCCTCTCAAAATGGCAGAGGATCCTCATTCAAGCGTAGTATCCCTACTTTCAGTGCTTCCTGTGATTTTGCATGCCTAATAACAGGAAAAGTATGCAGGCACCATTACCTGGAGAGTGTTCACAAGAAGAATCTGTGCCTTTGAAGTGTCTGTCCCTTCCTTGGTGCTATGCGTTTTCCTCAATCAGCATATCTGTCATGTAAAAATACGCTTTACATATTGGTGGGGTTGTTTTTAGAGACAAAAGTATTAAAATGAGAACCATCTCTCTTCTGCCACATAATTTTTAAAACTCAGTTCTCAAGAGCTCCTAGAACAAATTTTTTTTAACTTCTTGACCCCCCCTAAAGCCTAGCCTAACCTCTAGCCCTGCCAAATGAAGGGTAGTTTGCTATTGAGAAGCAGCTTTTCTTGAAGCCTTTGTCCTGTGTTCTTTTTTAAATTTTCAGGCATATCAAGAGCAGTTCAGTCTGTCTTGGAGAACTTTCCACTGGGCCCAGTTTATTTGACTTCCACACCAACAGTTTGCTGCACTGCCAGAAATTTCTAGGCCTCACTAAGATGATTATTCACTTGACTACATGGGGAAAGGCTTACTGCCCATGCTTCATGACTTCAGGCTGCAATATGCCATGCCAGCTTCTATACAAGCCAGTAAACCTTTAAGGGGAGGCATCTCTCCAGTTATCTCTGCCCCTTGGCACTTTGGCACGCAGTTTTATGCCAAGTTTTTTAAGATCTGCTGGGGAACTATGGGATATTATTTTGCTCCAAGAATTCTCCCTTGAAATTTCTAGCTCAGTTTTTTGGAGGTTTTTTTGTTGTTCTTTGTGTCTTCAAGGGGAAATTGTCATATTTCTCTTGAATAAGAGTACTGAAAAATGGATTTTGGACCGTCTGACCCACAGTTCTGTTATCCTGTTTCTGTGAGTACTGCTTTCCAGGCTCAACAAAACCTACCACAGCAGGCTGCTGAATCTTGTGCAACGGAACTCATTCCAATGAAACTGAGGGGAACAGTTTTTACAGCAACTATTCATTTTAACTATTTAGGAAGTGAAATGGCATCTTGAGATGACCATTGGATATGAGAACCAAATATTTCTAATTTAAGGTCTGCATAATCATGGAATCGTTCATGCTGGAATGTCAAATTTTATCCCAGCACCCACTCAAAGCAGAGTAAATACTGAATTCAGACCAGGGTTTGTCCAATTGGTTTTGCAAATAGCTTTATCATTGTTCCTTCCACTTAGAAAGTGGCTTGTTTCTGAGTAGTAAGAGGCCTATTTCTGCGTCTTAGGCAGTCGTTCACATCGAAAGTATCTTCATACTTTAAATCCAGGACAAGGATCATTTCACAAGTCTCTGTGCATTTCATAGAATCATGGATGGTTTGAGTTGAAAGGGACCTTAAAAAATTCATACAGCCCTGATCCCCTTCCATGAGCAGGGTCACCTTCCACTAGCCCAGCTTGCTCAAAGCCCCATCCAGTCTGACCTTGGACCCTTCCAGGGAGGGGGCATCCACAGCTTCTCTGGACAGCCCGTTCTAGTGTATCGTCACCCTCATAGTGAAGAATTTCTTCCTAATCTAATCTAAATCCATTTAAATTAGTTACCCTTTCTTTTATCTCTGCATTCCCTGATAAAAGTCCATTCCCATCTGTCTTGTCTCCCTTCAAGTACTGGAAGGATTCTATAAGGTCTCCTTGGTGCCTTCTCTTCTCCAGACACTGAAGAGCCCCAGCTCTCTCAGCCTGTCCTCCTAGGGAAGTGCTCCAACTGGTGTCGTTGGCAGGCTTGCTGAGGATGAACTCAGTCCCACTGTCTGCGTCACTGACAAAGACCAGATAGCACCAGTTACGTTACCAGCCCCTGAGGAATACAACTTGTCACTGGAGATCTTACCAATGATCTTTATAATTATACTAAAATAGTTGTGCAGTCAATGCATAAAAATGTTTTCCTGCTTGAAAGTCTGATTCATTTAAAAGTTTTCAGTGTGGCAAACCTGGTCAATTATCTCTTTACAGGTTCTGAACTCAGTATATTTCCAGATGACTACCAAAAATCACTTTCTTGAATTAATCCTTTTCTAGACACTAAATATGACATAGGAGGCTTTCCTGTGCTCTCAGTACTCTTTTTTATTTTTTCCTCGTTGCCCTTCAATCAAGAAGTAACAGCTATCCTTGAGAACTCAAGTATACATCATACCTCCACTCATTGTTTCAGAAAGCATTTGTCTAACTCAAAAAACCGCACAATAATATATAACATATACCTTTGTAACTGTTCTTCCCCACACTGTGTATGAATTAGAGGCTTGCAGACTGGTTTTGATAGGTTTCTCTCGGTAGTGTGCTAGTGGAATCACAGAATGATTTAGAAAAATTGATTCGTTTCAGACAGATCCTGCAAAAATACACTTAATTCCTTTTCTTTCCTGTCACCTCATCTTTCTGTATAGTTCAGGATGGTAAGTATGAGTACTTTTATATTCATCTGAGGAGCTGATATGGCTACATGCACAGCTTGGAGACTCTGGTGTGTGAACTTAGTGTTTGTGGCATTACCCATCTGATTGCAGCTTTCTACTTGTATGGGAACAGCATTTTTTGGTAGTTGTCAGTATCGCCATCATATTTTATACCAATGAGTGTGATGGAGCCTAACTCCTACAACTGGTTTGGCCTGCTTTTTTTTTTCCTCCTATCTGCTTTAAAAAAAATTGCTTTAGGTAATTTTTTTTTTTTTTTTGCATCAGAGCATAGCCTTTTGCATTCCTTTCTCACTCATCCAGCATCTCTCCATTTTTCTGGTTTGGTCCTGGACAGATCCATTGCGAGTCCAAGTAAGGAATGTTCTTGCAAACATAGAGAAGTAAACACATAATTTAGGTGTTACTTTCCTAACAGAATGTATTTGGCAGGCTGCTCTTTGTGTAAGTAGTATTCTTGTAGGTAATAACTGGTGAGGGTATTTGCTGGGCTTGAAGGCCTCAAGTTTCTCAGTTCATTTTCTGAGAGTTTCTTTAGCTGCTGTTTTAGTCATTTATTGCTAACCTGAAAATCTTCATGTAGCCCTACCCTGCAGGTTGAATATTGAAGGATTTGATTATTTCACCTTTCTGTCAGTAATCCAGTTCCTCTCTGGGATTTTAATCTAAACATGCTTTTCTGGGGGCATGTAGTCACAGGTTAAGTGAGTTTGCCTTCTCTACCTCTGTGTGATAGATAAGCAGATAGATAGCAATCTCTTTTTCCTGAAGAAAGGGGAAGATTCAGTCCACCTTGACACATCTCGGTGTTTTTTCATGGATATAAGAGAACCCAAAAGCCAGCTCAAATTCTAACCTAAAATCTGGTCTGCAAATTTCCTTTGTCCCAGTATATTAATTCTCCTAGCTTCTGTGCCCTCCTAATACCATGCTCCTACTGTATTTCTCAGCTGTCAAATGGATTTTGCGTGATAGTCTGTCTTATTGATAAGATGAGACCCCCTTGGAAACATCCCATTATTTTTTTCATGTCAGCAGTTAAGAAGTCCAAATGACTCTTCCCTCATTTGGGTTTTTGTATTAATTAACTGGGTAAAACATTGATGTAAGACGATTAAATCCCTCTCTCGCTAAAACAACCCATTTGCCAAAGTGTGATTCTGTACAAAGTATTCCTGTAGCTGATAGCTGCAGAGTTGCCTCTCAGAGTTCTGACAAAGCTTTTATTAAAGTGTTCTGTCTGAAGTTTTAAGAATAAATATGTGACTAGTAAGACAGGCTTTTAAAGTCTTTGAAAGTCTCAGTTTCTTCTTATATACAATACTTTTAAGTCTTCTCTGTGAGTATACATATGGTTATATGCTCAAAGAAGACTGGACGATATGTACCTGTAGCTGTTCCTCTCAAACATGTTTTCTCTGTATGTATGTATGTAGTCTTGGATTTCCTCTTTTCCTCAGGATACGTTTGGTCTTAGATTTCCTTGCTTGAGAAGAAAGAGCATGCTCTGTCCGTCTTATGGCATTGGTACACAAGGGAGGACAGCTACTCTCTGGAGTTTTCTCTGAATAACATACTTTTTTACTATTTTATTGTATTTGTTGAGTCTTTATTGCTGTTGCTGTACAGTAGTAGCTTCATGTCTTGTATTTGCATTTTTAGCATTTTGCACACTTAATATTTAATTCATTTTTTATCTTTGTCACCATCCATGTATTTCTATACAGTGTATACAGTTCAATTTGGGATCAAATGTTTAAAAAAAATTGTTTAGCTGAGACTCAAAATACTATGACCACAAGGAACAATAATTTGACTACGAATACACAAAATGTTTGCTATTCTTTGAGAGTCATTAGTAAAAAGCCAATGCCTCTTGAGACTTTTTAATGGTTCCCGGATCTGCCTTGCATACCAGGGCCTCCCCTGGCAACTGTACCTGCTTCTGATGAAAAAAAAGCTTTCTCTTTCACTTTCGAAAGAATGTGCAAACTGAAGCACAGGGCAGCATAGAGGCCGCTTGCCTCATGCAGTGTGTACCAGTGATGTAGCACACTGTGAGCAAACCAGGCAGTTCAACTACCTGCCCCAAGTTTTGAAACTACAGTATTTCGTTAGTGGTTAGCAACTATAATTTTGCTAGCAAAATAGCTCACTCCAGATGTCTGCAATGTTAACACATTGCTGTGGTTGTCTGTGGACCTTATATTCATGATCTATTTCACAGGTATTTTATGAGGATTAATGAGGGTTATCCTAATTTTAGCTAAAGGAAAAGTGAGGCTCTGAAGAGAAGTTCCTGACTTTCAGGAGTAATTTTTTAATTCCTGATTTTTAGACTAGACTTAGATATAGAACATTTTAAAAAAATTAAAATACTATTTAATATTTGTTGAATACTTTGATTTATTGACATTACTTTTATGCAGAAGTTTCAAAATAATTATTCTAACTTTCTGTTTTCTTGTTGTAGCCTTATATTTTTACAGATCCACCTACTGTAAGAGTTGCTCATGGAAGGATTTTCTCAGAAGTTGTATGTTTTTTCCACCATGTGACACATACCATGCGATTGTATAAAGTCAGGGGTAAGAGTTGTTAAAATCCTTTCTTTCTCAGCAGTTATTTTGCATCACTACAGTCTTGGATCCTACCTGTCTCTTTTATGATTAAAGCCATTTATAACTAGTGAAGAATTTATCAGACTGAAGTCTACTGAGTCTAGTGCACCATGCTAGTCATTAAGCAGGCGTGCTGAAACTCAACAAATTTGTTGGAGATGCCTCTAAGTGTTAGGATATATTATAGTATAAATTATCTACAAGGGGATCCCAAACTTTACTGGTTCATCTGAATGCTTTAGGTAGCTATAAATTATGAAAATGAGAAAAAAAACCTGGAAATACCTTGGAGAGGATGTAAAAACGTAGTCTCTTTTGTAGCTTCAAAATTATGGATGAAGGTATGACAATATATTCTCTAAAGTTGCAAAGAATGTGAAATTATTTGTTAGTGGCATTGATAGCGAATTCTGGTTACTCCACAATTGGAAGCATGTTTTAGTTACCTGTGAGCTTACTGTTCATGTCCTTTTTCTGCTTCAAAGAGCTCGTGAAAGAATTGACTGTGTCTGTTGAGAGACACCAGCACTGAACATGATCTTACTGATTACTAGGACATGGCTTCCTATCAGTTTTGCTTGCTCTTCCTTCAGTAAGGCTTTCATTTTTTGTTTCTCTACTGTTCATCTGCAGGTTTCTAAGAAAATTCTAGGAAAACGGTAACTTTGGAGACATTATACCCTTCCAAACTTGTTATAGAGGAAGGGAATCATGATGCAACTGTATAAAGTTATTTGCCTGTAGAAACTTGACTTAAAATGCTTATCATTTTTGTAATTGAAGTAGGAAACACACGTTTTTGTTTACTCAACTATTTGTATTTACTCTACTGGAATTTTTCGGAAATGCAAAAGTATTGGGTAATTTTTTCAGCAGTTGAAGGAACTTAGACATGTTTTGTGTTAGTATTACTTTTACTCTAGGTGTCAGAATTTTCTGTGTGGTCTTTAAAATCTTTTTTATCATACTGTTTTTCAAAACACCTTAAAGAAAATTAATGGAGCTATAAGTACTTTGAAAGTTTCCCTCATTCTCTTCCTTATTTGTTTTACATTCCAAGAAGAGAATTGTCAGCAATACCTACTTCACAGTCACAAAGAACTGATCTTTGGTTTTTTTTAATTGTAATGTATTTTTCTTTAGAAGTAAAATTGATTCAGATGCCTTATATTTTTATGACGTGTGTATACTTTGAAGTTTGAAGTTGCCTGCGTTTAGCCATATACTATATACTGATCAGAGTTCAGTTACCAACTCGTCTGATGCAGTAATTCTAGATCACATTATGAACACGAAACAAAATGTGTAGTAATTTGTTGAAAATCCTGATAGTAATTTGTTGAAAATCCTGAGGAACCATGTTTGTATTCAAGATTATAGTTTTTTATTTTGTGTGACCAATACATAAAATGAGTTTAGATGAAAAAAGTACCGTGAGGTTAAGATGTACTAGGTTGCCAGAAATGTGAAAATTTACTTTGTTGTGTGGGTTTCAGTAAATTAAACTTCTTAGCAAGGAGAGAATTTGCATAAGGAGGATGTTTATTATAGTGAAGGGGAGGGGAAAAGCCTGAAAATTCTCTTTTGCTTAGAGTGAGGTTGGTTGATTTTTGTCTGGTTTTTTTTTTAAATTTTTTGTAATACTCTCTATAGTTTGTTAGTAAATGCCTGCCAAGAGTATTATATTTCAGAGTCCAGAAAAATGAGTTGTCAGTGAGAATTACTTGCTTGCCTATTCCTAAAACATAGTTTATCTTTCCTTTTGAATGCACTGTCTTCTTTTTTCTTCTTTTGACAATTTTTATTTCAGCACACTGTTTCAGTACTTACACAATTGTCTATCCAGTCATCAGGGTGAAGTCCTCTACCATCCTTCTTTTACAAGGAAAAATTATTGCATTACTTTTTGGTATTTTCTCAGTTTATTTTATATTGTGTTTTAATTTAATTTCTTCATGTGAAATGGCCTTTTTTCAACATCTAAAAGCTGATGACTTTGCATCCTGGTTTTGCTGAGGTCTTTTTCCCAGGCTTTATAAGGAAAATTATTTATATAGCATTACTTCAATTAAAAGAAAGTTTTACTAGATATGTACAGTGACAAAGTATGTGGGGAGAAACGAATATATATTTGTATATACATACTTTTGTTTTTAAATAAAGACCTGATACTCCTGTTGTAACCTGTTTACCATGGGATGGAAAGCCTGACTGTGGCTACTGTAACTTTTGGGCAGTAGTCCCAAGTCCGGCAGCTAGTTTCTTCAGCAATTTTGGTAAAACACTCTTTGTCCACTTCTGGCTTTAGAATTCCGTTGATTTTGAACTGAAAATATTCTGGCTCGCAGTAAATGACTCATGAGTGCTTTTAAGCTTTTTCTGCTTCCATTGACGTCTAGTTTTAATATCAACATTATTTTATCAGACACTTCTTATGTTTTGTTATTTTCATAGTAGTATTTTTATTAAATTATGCAGTAGAAAAAGCTGAGAGTAATTCATGGTCTGGTCATTCTAAAATTGGAAACTGAAATATTGTATCCTTGTTTAATGTACTCATACTTTCATAGCCCTACTTTAAAATAGTTGGAAAATTTATGACTAAGAGTGTATAGATCCACTTTTCCAGAGTAGGTCTAAGAAAATAAAAGTAATTACCTAAACTATATGTTTTTCATTTAGCACTGTAGTACAATAGCAGGTGGCATTCAGATTTTTAAAAGACATACTTTATATCATTCTTCTACTTGGCAGAGTTCTTTTCACAATTGTTAGTCCCATTAGACTACAGAAAGGGAAGAAGTGGTCATGCTAAATGATGGTATGATTCCAGTCCAAACTGTATCTCAAGCTGTTTGAAAATGTCAAGTTATTATTAAACTTCCAGCATGAGGTACTGGAGAAAAAATCCTCACTAAACACCTTTCTGCATTTTCAGATACTTAATGATTCTTTAAATAAATTGACATCTTTTCCTTGTCAGCAAACACCTGTGTCCTGATTGTCATCCTATTGGTGTGCAGTTTCTTAATTCAGGGTCCTTAAGGAAGATTGTCCCTGTTTAGGTTACAACAGCTGATCTGTCTCCCACTTAGTGTAACAGTTACTGTCAAGAAGTTGGTAGTTCTGTTCTTGTGTGTTAATGGCAACACTAAGTGTCAAGGCAAGAAGTGAGTGGCTGGGTGTCACTCCAGCATATTAGCTGCTGCTGCAGACTGTGCTTAACAGTTTTGTGCTGTTTCCTGATGTTTTACTGGAATCCACACTGGTTCTTACAATGATTTTTTTCTGTTCTACTGCAGTGAAGGTTTCAAAATGCCTGCAAAATGAGTACTGTATTTTAAGTACTACAATGTTATATGGTACATAACTGAACTGGGTTCAGATATCTGACTAGATGGGACCATAGTCATTCTTATATGTGTGGCAATCACTTCTAAAAATGGAGATATTTTAATTGCATCTTTTTAATGTAGGTTTGGAAGGCCAGTCTGTTGAAATTTCCAATATTGTGGATATTAGAGGAGAGTATAATCGTGAGCTTGCAATGAGGATTTCATCTGATATAAACAGTCAGAATAGATTCTATACAGATCTTAATGGATATCAGGTAATTATTGCCTATGAATTTTGAAAGCCTGGGGTCTCAGTTTTTAACTGCCTTAATACTTCTCTTGTAAAGAGTTTGAGTTATATTAATCAAACGTTCATGTTAAACTCCACTGATCATTTAAAATGAGAAAACCTTACATCCATTATAAAATTTGATTTAGACCAGATGAATTAGCAACTGTTTTCTTTCAAGAAGTTTGTTAAATATTCCTTTGTATCCTTTTCAATGTAAGAATTGTAGTACAGCAAGTTATGACAAGGCACCGTGTAGTTGCTTGTATGTCTGCTTGCCTTTCCCCACTGTTTTGTCTGTTTAATTAGAGCCCTTTGGGTAGCAACTCAGACCTGGAGAACAACTGCTTGCTGCTGTGGTGGAATGTATTTTTGGAGCTTAATAATTTGCTCTATTGGTAATGCATCTGGTGAAATACAGTGTGGCTATTTTCTTAACTTGGACTCTGCAGCACACACAAGAGAATGAGAACTTTTTTTTCCATACCTTGCTTCTTAGCTAAAAATACATTGAAAAACATAGCTGCTGAGTAGGAAACTACTGGTTTTCCAGGTAGTGTGTGGTACTGCATTTTGCTGGAGACAGTAAAGTGAATATTTAAACATGAAACTACTACTCATTTGTTATATACCATTCAAAACTTCCACTAGCACTTTAATAAGTTCCCATTATAAACCAGCAATTTCTTTTCTGCTACCTTGAATCTATTCCCTGCTTGCTTTCTAGAGGAGAGAAAAAAAATTTCTCTCATTCTGTAACTGTTATTGTTCCCTTTTTTTTTTTTGGTTCCCTTGATGAATCTTTCAGGTTTTTTTTAAATTCTTTCATCTAAAAGTACATTGAAGTTATCATTTCCAAAGTGGTAATTTTAGCCACAAATCTCCAAAAAGCTAAATAATACGGTTGAGTGAGTGCTTTGGTGCCAGTTGTGCTTTTAAAGCCCATAGGATAAATGTCTGAAAAAGTCTTTGAAATTTAAATGGGTAAAAAGAATGTATTTTATTAAAGCTCATGTTCATACTGCAGATCCAGCCTAGACTGACGATGAGCAAATTGCCTTTACAAGCAAATATCTACCCTATGACTACAATGGTTTATATCCAAGATATTGGCGTTCGTTTGACACTTCATTCAGCTCAGTCTCTAGGTGTTGCAAGCTTGAAAAATGGTAAGTATAAGATGACAGATATTATAAAGGCCTATCCATCATGATTGTCTGAAATGGGTCATTCGGAGATTACCACGACGACTAGCATGTTAAAAAAGAAAATACGTTTCTCCATTTTTGACAAGCTTAAAATATGTCTATAAGGGAGGACTTAGAGGTTGTTCCCACATAAGATCTTGTCATCTTTAATGGAAGATAAGTCTCCAACTAGAGACAGGAGGAAGAGAGTATAAAAAGGCAAAATGAACAATAAGTTGTCCAAACAAGATATTTTTCACCCAAGAACACTGATGGAACTCATGGATAAAACAGGAAAACTTAAGTGGTTTGCTCTCTTTGGTTCTGCTGGTAGCAGAGGTGTTAAGATGGCTAATGTGTTGCTGATCATGTTTTTTTGATTTGTTTATTTGCTTTAGGTTAGAAAGCACTAGTTTTAAGGTATACACAGTATAGGCTAACATCCCTGTCAAGGAAAACAATAACAGCTTTTTAAAGACTAGAATTGGCGAAATACATGATAAAAATTACCCTGGGTAAGTACTAACAAATTTCTTCTGAAGCAAAATCGTACCTTGTGAATTTAATGGAGTATTTTGAAACAGCTGATGAATATGTTGACATGAAAAATCAATTCATAGTAAGAATTCCAAAAGGGATGCACTCATGTCCCTCACAGCAGGATATGAGGGTACAATGAATGGCCTGGAGGGATGGAAACAGAGGTCTGTTGTTCAGTCTGTGCCACTACCAAAATAAGGAGGCATGCAAATAAAGCTAGGAAGTGGTGGAAAAAATAAGATATCTAGTACATAATTTAAAATGTATAATTCCTTGCCGTAATATGTTTTGAGTTTAATTTTACATGGTTTTGAAAAACAACAGAATGCATGCTTGGAAGAAAAAAAAGCCCATCAGAAACTGTGCCAAAAGCTAATTCCCTGATTCTTTTTGGAAAAATACCATATTAATGTCTACTCTAACAAAAGGTGAATACTCTAGTAGGCCATGGCAGTATTAGCAAACCTAATTTAATTAATTTTAGGGCAAAGAGTTAACATTGGCCAATACTTTAATAAAGACATGGTGGAAAACATCAGCCTTTTCTTCCAAGCCCACCTGATACAAGACCCAAAACACATTGTTTCATGACTTCCATTACTAGAAACCAAATTCTCTTTGGCCTAGTCTTGTGAATGAACTTTTAACCACCAGATATTTGTAGGCACCTGTTGTGTAGTTATCTGAGACCAAATTACTGTGCAGAGGCTCCATTACCTTAAAATAATGCCTGTATTTGTTCTTTAACAATCCTACTCTCTGCATCACAGAATAATGCAGCATCCAAGTCCACAGATAGCCCCACTCTCTGTCTTCAAGCTAGGGAGGTTAAGGCTAGCACTGTTTGACATATTGTAGTTAAATACAAGGAAGAAACTGGCTTTCTGTGAGCTTAGGTTTCAAACCAGTCAGAGGACATTAGGGGCTTTTCTGCTACACCAGTTAAATAAGAGAGCAAAAGATGTATCCTATACTGGGTCATGCCATTAATTTCTTAACTATATCACTCTTTGACAAACTCTATTATTTCACTCAAGGTTAGGAGATAGTTACCAACATCAAATATTTACTGTGTCCTCACAAAAAAAAAAAGCAGGAAAGTGTATTCATCTGACTTGTTGTCATTAGGTAGTATTTCATAAAATGACTCTGTTTACTGCCTTTGTCCTGGGGCAATGTTGGACGTAAAAGAGAATAAAAATCAAGCTGAAAGGTCTGTGGCTGCTGGAAGTCATATGCTTCATGACACTTCTGAAGGCTCTTCAGGCTCTCAAAGGGATCCTGAAAAAAATTCAGAAACATTGCAGCTTAGGCAAACACCTTTGGTAGCTGTGTCTCAGGATGTAACCCACCATCTGAGATTTCTATGAACAGCTGATTTTATCTCATTTCTCATTCTTGGATTAGAGACAGCTTCCTTAATATGGAGCAGTCGGTTAACTTCTATGCTGTCAGATGATCTGTATTCAATAGTATTTCTCGATACAATGTCGTCAGTCTTCAACGACAGCTTCTAAGAGACTTTATCAAAAACATATGCCACACCTTTATTACTACTTTCTATCTTTCTTCCCATTTGGATGCATAATCATTTGGATTGGATTGGATGCATAATAATTTTTTAATGTTAGATGCTGGACTTCCTCTACCTTGTAAGTTCCATCCACTTCTGCTCTAATTTACTACTTAGTGCATTATCCTTCATGCCCAGGGAAGACCTCCAAAAAGATGGAATGCTCGACATCGTTTACATGTGAACTTCCCTGCAGTCTCATGGATAATTAACTGGTTAGCAAGGATTACTTACGTTGTAAAGCCGCATGCGATATACTTGCACAATTTTTAACCCAGAAGTTTCTCTAAACAAATATTTTAAAATCTTTGACACACTTTTGAAATGTGTTTTTTTTTATTTCTGACTTCAGCAGAACTGAACATTTTGTTTGTATTTGCTGTTCACAATCACCTTAAGAATTACAAAGCTTTAGTTTGACAGTCTTCGTTATCCTAGCTTCTTAAAGAATGTTGGAAATGTGGTTAGATAGTTCTGAATCTAGATCTTCTGAGTATTGTTCCAAAACTTGGACAAAAATATATTACAGATTTGTCATTCTTAATACGGTTCTAGCTTTTTCAGAAACTTGACATACCTGTCTGTCAGCCCATGTTCACACAGCGATCCACAAAGACCAGCAATGTGAGGCAAAATCTTAGTCTTAAAACTTAGTGCAAAATGGTAGTTCGTTTTTTACACATTGGTAGATGATTTCTGTCCTTAATACAAAAAAAACCCTGGTTTTGTTTGAGAGAAGGGAAAGTACAGTATTTTAAAAAATTGGATAAGTATAGAACAATGAAGAAGTATAAAAGAAACTGCCTTACGAAGCAGCCTTTTCTAGTAGCTTAAATTGTGCATTTCTTATTTAGGAAACAAGTACTTCAGTCTTCAGGTTTTTTTAAGAAAACAAGTACACTTGTTTGAAGATTCAGTGTGTAAAAATTGTAACCGCCTTAATTACATGCCCTGAACTGGTTTCCTCCTGGACATAGAAACCTGGACATTATTTACCATGAGGTTATTTATGATTTAACATCATGCTTAAAGAGCAGTGCTACAGTTCAGTGTAAACTCAAAACCTCTTAATTAATATTCATCTAGTGCAAAGTTCTTTCTACTTCCACAAGTGAAAATATCTTTAAAAGAAGCATTGATTGTGAATATTTTTATCTTCATATTGCCTACCTATTTTTCCTTCTGCCTCCAAATGTGAAACAAAAAAAAGAAAAAAGAATCTGTTTGGGAGGTACACTCCTATGGAGCATAATATCAAGACAGTTCTTCTGCAGAAGGTCTCTCCAGTTGCAGCTGCTTAGGATAATTCTCTTCTTCAATGTTCGATGTGCCGAGTATCCTCCTTACAAATAGTAGTTAACATTAATAACTTTTCATGCTAAATTTCCATATGCAAGAGGAAAATTGTGATTCTTTGTAAGGTGTATTTCAGGGTATTTTTCGTAGGTTTAATAGAAACTTTAAATATTCCTGTAGCCAGTATAATCCTTGCATTGGCCTTCCAGGTCAGTTGGAAGTGATCATGGATCGTCGACTTATGCAGGATGACAACCGTGGTCTTGGACAAGGTGTCCAAGATAACAAGATTACAGCTAATATCTTCCGACTTCTGCTGGAAAGAAGACATGGAACAGATGTGGTAGGATTTACTGTCTGTATTTTTCTGGCTAAATAAGATATTTATTTTGTTGCAGCAACAGTGAACTCAGAAATTATTCCAACAGCAGTAGAACTATGGAAACCTAGCTTCCAAGGGAATTTTCTTGTCTTGCTTGCATGTTCTCATTGTAAAGACTTCATCTTTCACTATTCCTCACACAGATACCTGCAGTGTCTGCTTTCTTACACAGACGTCCGGGGTACTGTTGTGGAAGTCCACTTTTTCTTTGTTTTTTACCTTTTTCATTTTTTATTGAGGAAACTTTTTTTTAAATTATGAGTTAGTGAGATTTCTGCTTCTTAAAGTTAACTGACTGAACAAAGGTTGACAAGTTATTTTGGATGAATGGGTGGAAAGAGAAAACATCTTATACATTTAGTTTTCTTGGGAAATAAGATTTAAGTGGAAATATTTACATGTCAGACAAAAGTCCTTCTCACTTCATTATCATTCTGGGTAAGTTGAGACTATTTTATTATAGCACTTTTTTTACTTGCATGGATATCTCAGTTCACCTTTTTCTGTATTAGTCTTTTCAATTTGAATAACTTGTAAATTTTCTTTCAGTTCTTTGCATTTTCTCTCTGCTTTTTTTCCAATCATTTCTGAGAAGGACCAAATAAGAAGCACATACTCTAAAATAAGAAGGACATACGTACTCTACTGAGGCAGTAGAATCCTGATGACAGCACTGAGTATATTTTAAAATCATCATATAGTTAAAGATGAGAGGTTGTATACTGAGCTTCTAATGAATATATAGATAAATTGGAAGTAATTCTGGTTTATAATGGATATCATTAACCACTGAGAGGATGATAATATCAAGCTTAAAACTAATTTCCACCACTTAATGATTGACAGTGGGCTTTTTTCAGGTTGTACATGTCGCTATGATTTTCTAGTTCCTCATCCTGTGTAACACAGGCAGCATACTAACTGCATTTTTCAGTGTTCAGAAACATGTAAAGAGATCTATAGTGCCACAGAAAACTTCTTTAGTGTGCAGAGTAATTTTTGTTTTATTAAATTAGAATGCGAGGCTGGTAAGTAAGAATTATTGGACATGAAAATCTATGTTTACATTAGTAAATAATTTGAAATAACAGCAGCAGGTCAAATCGGTGCTTGGATTGACACTGTGTGCAGTTTTGGTATTATTCCAAACAGCCATAAAATAACCCATGAAAAGGTATCTGTGGAAGGCTTCTAGTCCAATCTCTGCTCAAAGCAGAACAGACTTAAAAACTCCCCAAAGAATTAGTCATCCATTCAGACAGTAATGTAGATGCGGTTAGAGCACATTTGATGCAAACTTCCAGGTATGCTTCTTGGTAACTTCCTTCTAAAAGAAAATTCGTCCATGCACACTGAGACTTCTCTGCAAACTAACACAGTGCCTCCTGCTTAAGTGGGGTTGGCTGTAGGTTTAGTTTCAGAATGGCATTTCTGCTTAAAACCAAAACACTCCTTTTTGAAGTTTACTTCAGTTAGAACAAAGGCAGTCTAAACAGCTCTGGGATTTGGTTAGTGAAACATTTGTATGTTTCTTTGCATAGACTTACCAGTGTGTTTCAAATACCAGTCAGACATCAGCTTAGTAGAATAACTATGTATTTCCTTTTTATTAATAAAGTCATCTTCCTTTCCTCCATTTTTGAAAGATTCTATGCAAGTTGCTGAGAATCAAAGAAGAAATGTTTACCTGCTATGATCAAAAATCCTTGAGGTGTTTTGCATACGTGTGTTCCAGCATCTGAGCTTAAAGTGCTTTTAAATAGCTGCAGAGAAAGCCTTTAAGGGCAGTTGGTTCTTTTACACTCTTGCAGGGACTTGAAAAGAAGAGAGATGAAAGCTTTGGAGGAGTGAGCAGAGTCAAAGGGGTGTTGTTGGCCCAACTAATAGAGTATGCACAACCCCCAGGAGCCAAGCAAGATATTTTAAGGAAACATTTTCTCGTGTTACATATGGAACTCCCCTTTCCTGTATTAAGAGTATTACAGCTTTTTGGTTTTCCCAATTTATCTGACCATCATTAATGTTTTCTGATTTACGTAACTGTTTCAGATGTGCTAAAGTAAGGAAGGGTAGTAGTCCCCTTTCTTTCTCTTTTGTTAAGTGTACAAACATATTTTCTTGGTGCATTGTTACTCACAAGGTAGTTGTTATAATAGTTTAAAAATAGTCTTGTCAGAAAAATTACGAAGAAATTATATGCAGTTTATGTATGTAATCAGCTGCAGTGTGACTCATACACTGACCCTAATTTTGTTGTCAAGCTCTATTTTCTTATTGGCTTGAAGAACCATGAAAACTGCAGGAGAGGAGGGAGTTTTGATCACTTGTACTAGTGATCAAAGTACAAATACTTGTACTTTGATCATAACTACAAGCTTTTCCTCAAGTATATCGCAAAATATTTCATTCTGTCTTTTCTCAAAAATAGTTCTAAAGAACAGGATTTTTTGTGCTCTTTGGGAAACTTCCCTATGAAAGGAGAATGTGTGAAATGTAGGATGTGCAATTCTTTAAAATTAATTAAAATAAGTATGCATCACTTTGGTGTAATTACTGTGGAACTTTTGGTTATGACAGTATCAACCAAAAGTTTATTTTAATTTAAATCTCTAGTATACTTTTTCCTTCCTCAACGTTTTAATGACCTATTCAAACCACATGAATGTCTTGAAGTGTAAGATAGACCTGTGTAGTGGGTAGATAGAGTTCTTAGTAATCACTAGCACACTCAGTTAGGCTGTATTCTATTAAGTCCCTAATCCTAGTGTTACCTGAGTTTTGGCTCTTGAATTCTAGCTCATCTAGCCAGTAGTAAATACTCATGCTGATTTACCTCTATGCGAAAGTCTTCAGGTTGACTTCTTTTGCTGAAGATATTTTTTAATTTCCCCTCCCCCTTCCTTAAGCTCAATACTACAAAAGGTGTGTTCAGGATGACTGTATTGTTAATTAAGTAAGCTATGTATGTCATAAGAGCTGGGCAAATCTCATCTCACTTTACATTACACTGACCGGATTTACTGACAGCTCAGACTTCTGTTGATGTTACTGTATTACTTTTTCTCTTCCTTCTAGATGCAGCTAATTCTGCTTGTATGTTCACTTTTGTCCTTGCAAGCGCTTTTGGGGTCTGCGTATCTTACTTTTTTTCTTTCCTAATGTTTCTTCTTTTTCCTCAGATTGTTCATCAGGAACTGAATGCATTTGGTGTTTAAACTGAAGGGATTGTTATTTAGCCGGGAATGAAACTAAGTTATCAATACTTGGTTGTCAAAAAAGTAATTGTTTCTTTATTTTTGAAAATACAGACTCCTATTTTATGTTTATTATAAGTTCTGTTAAAAATAAGCATTGATATCTCTTACTTTCTGAGCCGTAGTGTGTTATGTTAATATAAGAATATGGATGAAATAGTATTTTGGTAATATCTTTATTTCATCAATGACGTAGCTGGAGAAAAGATGCCACGCCAGACAAACACTTTCTTTTTCAGATCCCTATTTCATACCTTGCCTTGACTTGCTCAATTTTTATAACTGGATTTGTAGCCTAATCTCAAGCAGAGACCAGGTTTCAATGTTTCAAATAGAGCTATGGTTTGGGGGAGGTTATTTAGAGAAATAGGGATACTGGCAGTTAATAAAATGACAAGTACGTGACAGGCAGATAATCAAACTCCTTTCCTTCTACCACATGCAACTACTCTGTTTCTTATTAAATATCTGTCAGTATCTGTCTGATTATTGAGTTGCATTTGCCAATTACTGGTGTGCATATTTATAGTGTGTGTATACATTTCACACAGTAGCTATATACCATACTGTGCATTACTGTGGTATGTGTAACCAGCATAATTAAATTTCATGTTTAAAACCAGAAACTCAACACTGAATAATTACTACCATTTAAAAGCATTTTCAAGCCCATGTGTGACAATCTCAGATTTTTTAATGTAATTTTTAGTTATGACTTCCATAGTGGACTCATCAAACATATACAAAACCTTGAACCTTAAAGCTTTGTGGTTATATGGTGGCCAGAGAAGGAAAAAAAAAACCAGACATTTCTCTCTCTTCTTCTCATACAGAGCATGATGCATCTTCATTAGAGCCTTGCCACATATATTTAGTAAGGGAGGTACACTTATTTCTTGTTTCAGTTGAGAAGAGATTCAGGTATTTGTTAGTTCTTTAAAGCTTTGCTTAAAATACTACACTCAAATTATCATTATTGCTATTACTATATAGATGATACTGTATTTCTTGTGCTGGCATTTTGTGTCTGCTGCTCAAGAACAGTGTTTCCATCTCATTTATCTTCAAATACTATCTGCATTCAGGCCAGTATTGCCCTCATTTTTATGCCAGGGCATTTTACAGCCTAATTTCTTTCAAAAAATGTTTTTTCTTGGCACTGTGACAAAGATATGTTTCAGAAAGTCTCTAAACAAAGATGGATTTGTCCTCAAGCTCCGTTCATGTGATACTGGCCAAAGATGTAGGGAGTGAATGTTCTCATCCTCCAGCAGAGCAGCAGCCACTCATTGTAGCTGGCTCTTGGTGAAGTAGGTAGTACAAAGGACTGCCTTCCTCTGATTTCTGGACTTAGAACTATTTTTCTTTTGGTTTTTTGGTTATCTGCTGTTTTTGTTCTGTTTGTGTGTATGCATATATATCTCTACAGTGAATTATATTCCTTTGTTTTTATTTGTCTGTACCTGCTTCCAGCTCTGTTTAGAAAGAAAGTCTTCGACTTCAGACGTATGCATAGTATTCAGGCTTTATATCCACTTTTAGTCCATATAATTCACCAAAGCAGGAGGGTGGACCTCTTCAAGGTCTTTTCTGAGCTTACCTGAGCTGGTGCAGTTTGAGGTCTTAAATTTAAACTTTTTTTTTATCGCCACTTCTAGGAAGGCTTTCTTGTTCCCACTTCAAGGTCTGACAGTAGGGAAGAAGCCTTCTTAAAGGAGGGAGAAAGGGTGCAAGTCCAGTTTCTTCATGTATTCTCAAATGAAGTAACTCTCCTTGCACAAGGAACAAGTAGTTTCCATCAGCAGCAAGAACTTCACATGAGCGGCAGATTTCCAATGCAGATAGCCTCTCTGGAGGACAAAAATTAGGAAATACCATTGTGTAGTTTCTGTCTTTATCATCAGTTTGTGACATGCTTCCTCATCAAACCAGAACTCCAGAAAATTTCTCATCACTATGTTCTGCTACCATTGGGAGCAGGATAAGCTCTTCCCAGTGAACAGGAAACACAATCTAGCATCATGTCCCTTCCACCATAAGCAGAAAAAAAGAAATAAGATCTGTGGAAGAGGCTACGACTAAAGTATAAAATACTTTTATTGTTTAGAAAGTATGTCATGCTGACTCTGCTTTTTTTATCCTTTTCATCCAACTGTACTGATGGCTGCATATTTGTCAACCTTGGTAATTATGGTGGTGTGCTCATGGTCATGGTGACTAGTTACTTTCTTTGCTATCCGCACTCTTACGTAGACCAGCAAGCAGCTGTTCTCCAAATGATCTGTTTAAGGAACATAATTGCTGTTATGGCATCTGAGTAAAGACTAACTAAATTTAATAAAAGGACCTGACAGTCATCAAACGAACAGTGATGCAGGGCAGAGGGAGGGAGGAAGGGGAGGGAAGGACAGATTACACTGAACTGGCTGCTCCGGAGACCATGAACACGTTCCTGGTGTGAAACCCAACAAGATAACTCAGCAGAAATCGCTTTATGCACACTAAGGGCAGTATTGTCTAAAGGGGTTCAGGACTTACAGGATGTGGAGAAGAGAGAGAATTTTGGGCTTGTTTTAAAAGTGACAAGAGGAGGCGTTGCTTGTGGGAAAGCACCGACCGGGGCAGTTGCTGCTTAGCTTTGCTGATGGCAGGCCCTCATGGCGACCACATCCACAAGCTGCCCCCAAAATAGAAGACAAAGATTCATCGGGAGCGGCGGTGAGGACCAGCGGAGTGTGGAGGCGCGGTGTGCTGAGAGCATGCAGCCTGGCTTACATGGGCGGAGCCACCATCACCAGCGCCTAGTTTAGACGGGCTGGGGACACTGTTAACCCGCTGCTCTTTGTACACGTTAACGACGTTAACAGCTGCTAATTGCCCCCTTAACAGGCTTCAATAACAAGCCTTGGGGAGGGTAGCGACTAGTCACTGCCCGCTGCACACACACAAAGCACTGAACACAAGGCAACAAAGGGTAAATCGGTCGTAACAGTGGAAGACTTACACGTGCTGTAGATAAGCTCTTGTGTGTTTTGAGCGGTCTCCTGATTGCTGAACCAACTATGGTTTTATATCGATCCAAGGTTGTTAGAAAAACTGTAGGCACCCAGACAGAGGACCCATGCAGGCATGCGGGCTGCAGAGAGTGCCGCAGCCTGATGCTTGCAATGGAGGGTAGTGGTGATGACACCTGTATCAGATGTGACCAGGTGAACCACCTGCTTAGCCTGGTGGCTGAGCTGAAGGATGAAGTGGCAAGGCTGAGGAGTATCAGGGAGTCTGAGAGAGAAATAGATTGGTGGAGTTCCTTCCTGAATAGTAAGCAGCAAGCTCCACAAGAAGCGAAAAATCCCCTCCCCTGTGACCATCAAGTAAAAAGACCGGAGCTAAAGGATGGGGAAGAGTGGAAGCAGGTGCCTGCTAGAAGAGGAAGGAAAAGCCCTGCCCTGCCTCCCTCACCCTTGCAAAACAGGTCTGGGGCTCTAGCCAATGAGAGCTAGGCAAAGGAAGAGACAGAGGGAGGTCCATCCATAGGGCTGTCTAGAGGGAATCAACCAGCCATACGGTCTACAGTGAATCAGCCAGTCATACACATTAGGACTTCTTCGTCCAAGAAAAAAGGAGAGTAATTGTTGTGGGCAACTCCCTTCTGAGGGGAACAGAGGGCCCTATCTGCCGCTCAGATCCAACACACAGGGAGGTCTCCTGCCTACCTGGGGCCCGGGTTAAGGATATTATTAAGAAGCTTCCAGGTCTGGTTAAACCCTCTGATTACTACCCGCTTCTTGTTATGCAGATCAGTAACAACGAGATAGCAGAGAGACGGCCAGAGGCAATCAAAAGGGACTTTAGGACACTGGGATGGTTGCTCGAAGGATCAGGTGCACAGGTTGTGTTTGCCTCCATTCCTACAGTTACAAGGAGAAACAGTAGAAGGTGCAACAAAGTGCAAGTGATTAATGCTTGGCTAAAAGGGTGATGCCAACAGTCTAGCTTTGGATTTTTTAACCGTGGGGAGATTTACACGGCACCTGGTCTACTAAAACCTTATGGGGTTCAAATGATGCCACGGGGAAAAATGATGTTCAGTCATGAGCTGGCAACGCTCATAGAACATGCTTTAAACTAAATATGAAGGGGGAAGGGGTAACAATCACATCAAATGAAAACAGCCCTGGGATACATGTAGCAACATCAGAAGCAGAGTCACTGGCAAAGATGCGGTGCGATAGTACTTTATTGGGGGGTCTTGGTACCTTATCAGAGGCCTGGCTCAAATGCCTTTATATGAATGCCCGCAGCTTGGGTAATAAGCAAGAAGAGCTAGAGGTGCTTGTGAGTCTGTGGCACTACGACCTGATTGGCATCACAGAGACATGG